TTTGGCTATTTGCTACCCGAATTTTATGTTTCAACTTCACAGACAAGAGGATTTGTCTTTTTGTACACTTACTTAACTGTTAAATATTTTAGAAAGATTATAGAAAATTTCAGTATTTATGGGAAAACCAGAGAGGATTAGGTTAAACTTCAAGGTCCAGGAAAGGACACTTGTAAACCTAACAGAGGTGTCCCTTTTTTTAAAAAAAAAATCCAATGCTTTTATATGTGTAAGCTGATTAGTAAGTTTCAATGAAGAAGAAAAAAAGAATAAGGGGGTAAGGAGGATGTGGATAATGGCTCTGGCTAATGAAGGAGTCAAAGATTGAATTTGAAAGTATGTTTTTGGTGTCTCCATTGCCATTTTAGAGACAACAGAACAATGAGTAATTCATAGATTGTGAAAACTTCCATAGCATAATGGTATTCCTCATTTCAGAATGTTACATTAGAAATGTAAGTATTTACTGAATTATACAGTGTTAAAATAGGTTAAAATTAATCATTCAGGATGTCTAGGGATTCAGCTTTACTACAGTAACTCTTGACTATGATATATGTAATCAAGAAGCCATTCTTAATATGTTTTTTCAATTTTTAAAAGTTTATGTGAACCTAGCATGATGCAGACTCTGGCAAAATCTTGAAAGGCCTTGTACAAAGGAAGCTCTAGCAAATAGCCTTGGAAAGATGTTGCTGCTTATGATTTGGAAAGTACTGATGGTGTCCAGGGTTATCTTAAGGTGAAGGATTTGGACCAGATGTTGTCCTGTTGGCGGTATAGCCTTTTAGAAGTCACCCTTATTTTGAAGGAGATGGATGAATTGCTGGTGGATAGAACTGCTTCAAAGAGCATTTAGGGCACAGAAGAAATACAGTGCTCTTCGTGTCTTCTCAAGATCTTTAGTAAGCTTGGAAAGTTTCAGCTGGAGGAGATTCAAGTTGGCACGATTTTTATAGAGTACTGTGCTGTTGACGACATTATTTCTCAAGTCTTCCTGTGTTATAAATATCATGCCAATTTTGAAACATTAATAAAAGTAGGTTTAATATTCAGTCTTTGGTTTCCAATAAAGAGCGCATAACAGCAGTGTGATTTTTGCAAACTTCTTGCTTAAAGTTGTAGATAAACCTCGCTCTAAACGACTCAGTAGATTTGCTAGAAAAGCTTGTGGTTGAGTGCTCTGTATGCTTGCCTTTTTGCTTCCACCTAGAATCCAGGGTCATTACTTTCTGTAACCATTTCAGTGAGCTGCCATAGTTTTCAGTCTGTACTGTCACCTGATCCAAGCATGCGCCAAAATACCCACCGTTTCTGGCTACTGTCTGCTGAATCTGCTTTGCAAACCCTTAGTTCTTAAGCTTTTGCCTTAGCAAAAAAACAACAACAGACACTCTTACGGAGTGTACTGGACACATGCCATCCTGCTTCCCTATCTCCTCTAATTGTTTATGTAAATCCTTAGCTTAACTAAACTTGTAAATGCTACAATGGCATCCCCATGTGAAATTGTGTGGCTCATGTGTCAAAAAAGGCTGCTTGTGAAAATATTCGTCAGAAGAATATGAATGCTACACATTGCACTGCATTCAGTGTTTTGTATCAATTTATTATTGCAATGTCATGGTGTTTGATTTTAATTGTAGACAATCATTTTGTGTTTTATATGCAAAGGTAAGTTCATGTAAACTGTGAATGTACATTATATATAAACATACTGATTCATACTTCTGGCCTCTCTCTGGAACAAAAAAAGACAAACACAACTCAATGAAATAAATGTCTTAAGTAGAGGACCCCGTCTTCTCTACAAACATTAGTTTATGCATGAATTGTATAGAAATTTCTGAACTTGTGAAATAAGAATTTGTTGGGTTTTTTGAAAGATAATGGTCCAGATCCTGTTTACACTGAAGATAATGGCTGGAAAATTGTTCCTATCTCTAGCAAGAATAAAAATGATCCTTTATATTACTGTAGGTAATAGTTTTGTTAATTCTAATCTTGAACAGATTCTCAGGGTGAAGGGTTGAACCTTACTTTAGCAAGACAGAGTGCTGAGCAACCTCACAACAATACATGCTTTCCATTATGATAAGGTGTTCTGGTATATAAGTTACGTGAGAAAATTATGTTAACCTTCTTAGGAATTTGTTCCTAAACTTTAATTCAAACTATAAATTTCTGTGGAGGAAGTTAGATGTTTGCAGAGAGTTTGGGACCCGTCACTATTTCTACCTCTTCTGTTCCCCTTTAAACATACTTGTTCCCTTTCAACATTTCGTTCTGTTTTGGTTTTTACTGTGATTACATACCTTTTCACTGTCATATTCTTGATTGTAATCTTATTCTTTATTCCATGCCTCTTTCCCTGTTCATCCCTAGTCACTTCACCTGTTGCTCACTTTCAACTCCTTCATCATGACTCCACATTTTCTTGCACTTTTTTTGGCATAGAAAGATCATTGGTGACAAGTAGGAGCAGTTTTTGCCAAATGGTGCCTAAAGAGGAAAGTGGTGATTTAGTAAAATTGGCACTTCTTTAAATCTTATTTTTGTCTAGAAAAGGTTACTTCTTTGCAGGTGTATTTCTGTGAAGTACAAGAAGTTGTGTGACTGTTCAGCCCATGTTTATAGCCAGCTGCCTGTAACCAGGTCTAATTGAGCAAGAACTGTTCTGTCTAGTCAGTGAACTGTTTTTCCTACTGCGTGTGCTTTTCTGTTGGAGAGAAACATCCGTTGATAATCATTCTTCTTGTCCGTGAATGGATGAGGAAGGAGGAATTGCTCCCAAGTTCCCACGTCCATTCCACCTTAAAGGGTTAGCGAGACCGTTTACAGAATGTGCTTGTGCTCTCATCTCCCGTACACCTCTCCCTTTTGTCAGATGTTGTAGCCTTTGCCTTAAAATGGATTTCCAGAGTTGTTCTGTTCACGTATTGCTGCTGTCATTAAGTGGTGGCAGCAGTCAAGAGCCTCTGCTCGGAGAGAGATGCACACGCCAAAGAGAAGACGTTTTGCCTGCCAATTTCCTTGCTGTGCACCACAGCTGGGTGTCACAGCTGAGCTTGGGAGCTCCTGCCCTGTGGTGTGAGGTCTTACTTCTGTACGATTCTCAGCTTTTGAAAGTTGAGAAGAGTGACACGTTGCTCGCAGATAGTCCAACCATCTGGGTCAGGATTACTGTGGATCATGTTGAGCATTTGATTTTGCCAGTCAGTGGAAGTGTGCACACAGTGTTTTCACGCGGACAGTCTGCAAAGTGCAATACCTTGACATTCTGCCAGTAATGCATTGAAATCTGCTGAAGGTGAACTCGGATATAATGGAACATGATTGATACAGTTAATGGCAATCCTTAGTCTGTTTTGTGTTTTAATGTGTATATTTCTGTCTAGATTGCTGAGAAACTTCCTAAGAACTATCACTGTAGGGTTGGTTTGTGTTTTTCTCCTGTTCAGTGTTCATTTCTTAAAGCAAAGGTTGGATAATCTTCAGTCTGGATACCCAAAGTTGCTGTTAGTCAGTAGTGTCATGAGTTAACACAAGCGTTGACATCTAAAATTAAGTATAGTTGAATACACATACCTCTGTGCTCTTTTTTTAAATTGGAGAATGATGATATACTTTGTTTTAGAAAGCTGAAAGCCTAGATCTAGATGGAAAGTTGAGGTAAATTCACGAATGAACACATCCTGCTGTACAGTATTTTTGTTTCAGTAAATTTCAAAATATGTGTGTATCTGCATCTTTCATTTTTGTTTGTCATGTTGTCAGAGAACCTAGTGTATGATATAGGGCTATCATACACTGTATTTATAAATATTCCTGATAGTACAAAATTGGTTCCAAATGAATCTCAGGTTTTGACATTGATCTCAACAGTTAGAAGTCTGTGTCTGAGCAAAGTTCAGTTGATTCCAGGAAATCTATATAAGAATCTATCTACTCAGAACCTTTGGTAGCACCTGAGTGTCTGTTATTTGTTACTGGTTTTCCCCTTATTTTATGTATGAACAATTAAAATAGTTTTCAGCTTAGTGCATTGGGACAGGTAAGCCATTTTGGAAGAAAAAACAGTTGACAAACTCTTAATTGCAAATGACAATACTTGTTGACTTCATAGCTAAAAAGCTTGCGAGACAAGAGCTTTAGTTCTGGGAAAGTAATGCTGAACAGTTAAAATAAATGGATTGCATAAACTTATTCTAGTAGCACTTTGCATTTTAAAGTAGTGTTTTTTGTGAAGATCAGGTAGGATACATTTTAACATGTTACCTCAAAGACAATGAAGTTAATTAGAATCCATGGTGGGGCAGGGGCGTGGCAGCATGTGAGATGAAAAAATTGCTGTTACCGGAATTCTGATGCAAAAAAGCATCAACAAATATATAGTCAACATACATCTTCTCAGTGTTGTTGACAGAGAAGTAGTTTCAAATACCTATGGTTTCTCAGAGTTAAAAGTGCTGAAATAAGGACCACACAGCTGTGTGTTTGATTAGTGAGACAGTCTTGAACAAGTATTTTCTCTGATTAACAGAGAAAACTCCTTGCAACAGGAAAAGCTATTGAGATTAATTGCAAAGTTGTCAAGTGTGTACACCAAAGTAAACTATTACAGTACTGCTACAAATACTGTTTCATTGCTACTACTAGTTTTTTAGTATTACAGAGTATCTGTGATGCTTTGCTGCAAGTTATGTGCTGCTCTTCTGTTGGAAACCAAACGGGTAGAGATTGGAACAGTATGTACAGTATTTTGGTGTTACTTGTTGTATAGACAACAGGAAGAATGCAGTAATTTGTCAGAACCTGTTCACATGGGTGATTAACAAGAAAATTAATGAAAAAAAACTGTTAAGAGTTTTGTTTGAATTGTGATAGCTAGGAAATAAAAATGCTTGCCTATGAAAAATTTGACTTTTCAGCTTAATTGCATGAAGCTTCATGTTGGTATAGTTGCAGAATAGTGAACTGATTTATACTTTGTCTTTCAGATGAACCAGAGACACGAGATGCATGGTGGGCAGAAATCAGACAAGAAATAAAATCCCATGCCAAGGCATTGGGTTGTCATGCTGTAGTGGGCTACAGTGAATCAACTAGCATTTGGTAAATCATGATGATGATTTGATTTTCAAAATGCCACAGAAATGTTACTTCATATTCAGTGGAATAAAGTGATGAAGTATTTCAGCACAATTGTTGGCACTATCTAGTATACCTACTATGGAGAGTGTGTTAAAGTAATTTTCTGAGATTTTTGTGCTTTTTTTTGTTGATTTGTTTTAGTAAGTTTTGTGTTGCATATTTATTGTGTTACAAATTTTTTCTAATGAACATTTCAGTTTATACTGCAAAAGAAATTCAAACCTTTTGTAGTGACAACATTAATCTCTGAAGTTTTTCTAAACCTAATCTACCTAAATAGTTAAGACTATTCCTAAAATGTATACGTATTGCAGTTTCGTTATTAACTAACAACTGGCAGACCAGTACTTAAATGGTAAACTTCAGAGTTAAGGCACAAGTTCTTTACAAGGAATATGTTAATTGTAAGTTAAAGGGGAATATGCTGATAGGTCTGGAATACTTTAGGTGTAAATGTTATGTGTTTCTTTCTAGAAAATGCATGTTGCTATTGTTCTGTACTGCAGTAGTTTTAACATACTGAACTACAGCTCTGCAGTAATCTTTCTGAGGTTGAATTCCCCAGCCCTGCATCCTCTTGAGGCCTCCTCCAATGTTTTACTGTATTCCCTTTGACTAAGAAAATTCCAATTGTGTAATTTGGTGGCTTAATAACAAACTCTGTGAGAGGCTTAGAGTTTGACAGAAGTAATTCAGGACTTGTCTAATTACTTCTCCTTTTCTTTGGCCTGGGATAGAGTTGTGCCTCTTTCTAGTTTGAGAAAATGATCTCTGAAGAGCTTCTCCTGGGGCCAAGTGTGTCTGACTGGTATCAAACAGAAAAGTGCTCTGTCTCACTAACTGGTTTGAATGGCTTTAGGAAAGTCACTGAAGGAAACTCAAATATCTGAATTTATTTTCTGTCAAGTTGATTTTGCCTAAATACCATGAGCTAAAGGTGTGCTTTTTTAAAGAGAGAAGTTGGAAAAAGTTTCGGTTTACTCTGTAATTAATAAGTCAAAGAGAGAAATACAGAGTTATACATGAGTGCACAGCAGCTGTTAGTAAAGCAGTAAGATAACCAGAAGTGATCAGTCTGAAAACCACAGCATCGATTGCTTCACATCTGTTGCTCCGTCATTTACTGCATCACTGCAGGTAGACAAAGCCACAACACCCAATACCTTCATCTTCCACAAAACGTGAAAATGATTTTTTGAACGTCAAGTGCTGGTGCTAGTAGAGTAGGAAAGTATGGGAACTTAACGTACAGATGAAGCATATTTTGTATTCCTTATGCTGTCTTGTCTGATTACGTCCTGTCTTCTGTGATGTATTGAAGACTGTGTTTACCTCAATTGCAACGTGCAAGCTTTCATCGCTGAGGGATGAAGTTGCACTAAAAACAGAAGATTTGTTTCCTTGGATGTAATTCTCCTGGTAAAAAAACATGAATATTTGGCAGTGTTGTTCTACCTTAACGATGGGGGAAAAAAGTGTAAGGAGTATAGGTAGGCAGTCAGTTACTGTGTTATTTCACACTTTCACTTTTCTTAAGGAATTTAATGTGGTGGTACTTGATCATCAATAAAAAAGTTTATTAGCATTGCCCATGCTTGCTAGTTCAGCTTTATTCCATGCTTAAAGAGCAAGGCTCTGTCTGTAAGTACTGGTCTGCCAGACATGTTACATATGAAAAATTACTCTGGAAAGAGAAACAACGAATAAAACAGGCACTGAAAGCACTGCATGTTGGAGATTTGTTTCTTGTTTAACAATTTTAGAAGCATTAAAACCTCTGCAGTCATAGTTTGCACTTCTGAGACCTTTAACTCTGCTGTATCATTATTATAGTCAGTTACTGTCCATGCAATATGTACTATTATTGTAGTTGTTCATAGTAAAATTTTACTATTTTGCTACTTTTTATCCTCTGAGAGGCACCTTTGTCAGCGTTGTGTTGTAACTTTATTTTGAGAATGAATATTTATAAGATGATGAGGCTCTCTGATTTGGGAAACAATTACACCTTGTGTTTTTTAATGTTTCTCTGCTGTATTTGGTTGCCTGGATTTCATTGCATTATTAACTGTAGTATTGAAGACTATGCTTAAACCTGGTTAGCCTTTGTGATGTTATAGCATATTATTTGTAATACAGGGCAAAGCCCTTTAGTCTTCCTGTTAATTTTTCTGTGTCTCTTACTTGTATAGTGGTTTAAATACTAGAAAAGGTTTGCTTGTGAGATTTAGTAAATAAAACTGTGCAAGTGCACAAAATTAGTAGATATATTGAATTCACTGAGAATTTCATAGCAACCTTTGATTTAAAATTAGTAGGTTAAAAGTAGCACTGGGTATTAGGAATTCACTTTGTCATAATTCTTTTCTCTTATAGTGAAGAGGTCTGTATTTTGTCCGCGTCTGGCACAGCAGCTGTACTGAACCCTAGGTTTCTTCAGGATGGCACCATGGAAGGCTGTTTGGAACAAAGGTTGTCATGGCAGCCTGGCTTCTTTTCCATAGGGTCAGAGAAGGGAGAGGTTGATTTTTTTCCTCAGAGCCAAGATAGTTCTTCTCTATTAGGGTAGGTTACAGTGTTACAGTGCAGGATGCGGGACCAACCACTTTACTGCTTTTCACTAACAACAACAACAACAGAAGTAATGGAACTCTGCACCAAATTAGATATTCTGTTTTTATTTCTAACAGTCTGAATAAGGTAACACGTTTGACTACTAACCACAGGTCATAACTCAGTTTTTTTTTCCTTTGCTGCTCTTCAGGTATCTTTCTCAACTTTATATCACGCTGTAAAAAAATGACACATGTATGATAAATCAAGCAAAAGAACTACTGTGGCTGTAATATGTGTATATATGCTTTCTGTATATACTATTTAAAAGCTGTATGGGAGATAACATAGTTTGGTTGTAAAACAAAGATGGTGCCAGATTTTACAAAAGATACATGTTTTAGTTGAAGTTTATGAGCAAAATCATGACACTGAAGGAAACTCATGAAATTTGCCTTTGTTTCTGCTCTTGCAAGTAAAATTGGAAGAGTGAATATTGACACAGTTATTTTGGGGAAAAATAATTAGATTAACTAATGCATGTTGGTAATTTATTGTGGATTGGTCAGGATAGTCATCAAATATTTCAAGGGATTATTGTAGTCATAAGTAAGGCTGTTTGTTACACCTTAGCACTTGCATTATTTTTTCATAGTAATCCTGTCAGTCTGGTATTATTTATTATTCTTTCACTTCCTTAGCAGGAGGCCATTATCTTTATAGGTGGATAGACATAAAAAACGTAGCCAGAGTAAAAAAACCTGTTCCTGTATTCACTATATGATGGAGAGAAAGAAATGTTATGTTTATAATATGAAGAAGATTGCATTTTTATCAAAAAAAATTTTTTGGAGCCTACTAAGAGTCTTGGCATAGATTAGAAATGCCAAAGGAAAGTAAAACAACAGCCAAAGCCTATGTTTGAGGCAAAACATATTTGCAAAATTCAGTGATAACTAATGTTCCAAATCTGTCAGATTTGCTTTTAAGTATCGCTTCAAAATTCACTGAGAATACTTGTTTACATGGAACAGAATAATTCTGCTGTGATGCAGTTAGCCTTTGCTTTCCTTGTTCGTATTTTATATTTTATATCTGGCTTACTCCTGGATGTTTCTTGTGGGGGAGTGGGACTAAGTGTTCTAAGTGAATAAGTTTTACCTAATGCCTTATCTTAGGAAGTAATCTTGCTATTCTTCTTAAAATGTTAATATATATATAGTGCCGCTTCCCAGTAAGATGGTTGGTTTGTTTTTTATATTCTGCTTGTTAGATTTGAGCAGGTTTTTGAACACAATCCATGTATAAAAGACTTGTCACTGTCACATAACTTGTCACATAACTTGCAGCAAGTTCTCTGTACAACTGTTGTACCATGGACTACATCTAGAACTCATAGTGCGTAAAGCTAGGTCAGTAGTGTTTTAGGTTTGTATAAGTTGTTGATCGTTGTATGCACTTTTTTTAATCCCTTTATAACAAGTTTCAATGCAATTTTTATTTATAGTGTTTTAGCTATTTGTGTGAGACTCAATTTTACTCTTCTAATTCATAAAATACAGTATCTTGTCACACTGATACAGTGGAGCAGAGTGTAGCTGTAGTGTATGATTTAAGTAGGTATCTGTAGGTGTTTATACACGTGTGCACATAAAACATCTACATCTTATTAATAATGATCAGTAAGTATGTTGTCCATAATTTATTTTTAGGATTGAAGAAGCTTCACCACCAGGTTGTGGATTTTGCCATATACCATATGATGAATTGAACATGCCATTCCCTGCTCACCTCACTTACTGTTACAACTGCAGGAAGCAAAAAGTTCCTGATGTCCTTTTCACCACAATTGATCTACCTGTAGAGGCAATAGTTATTGGGAAGGGATGTCTTATTCAAGCCAGGTATCTATCAAAATGTTTTCTTGGTAAAGTTTTAGAGATCTTTGAAAGAATTCCTGTTGCTAAAAATGCAATATGTCATCAAACCTTAATTTTTTATTTAAGTCAATGAGTTAATGACAGTGTATTAGGGTACAGGAGGAGATGGACAGCCTTCTCCTCCCCCTGTCTTATGTGTCATGCTGTTAAAAGACATCTGATAACTCATCTACGTTGATGGGCACTTGGTAAATGTTCTTCTGTTTTCTTAATGCCTGTGGGAATTGCTGTATTTTGTCTCCCCAAACGTAAGAGTTTTTGTGCTTTAACTTACTTGGCACTTACTTGAGACTGCTAATATGGTCAGATACAGCTATTGCACTGGAAACCCAATGAAATATTGTAAATCAGTTACGTTATTTTGGTGCTGATGTCCATAACTGAACATCATCTCTCTAAGTCATTGTCTTTGAATTTGAACTGGGAAAACGGAATAAGGTGATTTACAATAGGAAAGAAGGAAGGGTTGGCTATGTACAGTCAGTATGGGTAGCCAGCTGCATGGATAAATAACTGGTTGGGCCTTAGGGCTGAGAAGGGTAGTGGGTTATGGTTCGTAACCTACCTGGATGGCCGTGACAAGTCTCATAGTCTGCAGCAGGACCTATCCCACTGAACTTCTTAATGGTGTGGAGGGAATGATTGGCTGGATGTTAACTGACAATACGAAACCTATCGAGTTTTGGCCTCCTCTGAGAGGAAGACAGCCGTCAGAATGCTAGAACAAGTTCAGTGGAGGCCCTCCAAGGGAGTAAGGAGCACCTGCCTTGTGAAGAGAAACTGCAGGTACTGGACTTATTCAATCTGGAGAGAGGAAGCAGCTAGGGGGACCTAGTAGCAGCCTGCCACTACCTGTAAGGAAGTGATGAAGCTTCTGTAGTCAGGGCCTGCACAGTGGAAGAGGGAGAAATAGTGGTCCTAAGTTGAAAGCAAGAGAGATTCAGAGTGGATGAAACAAAAACCTCTACTTACCAATTATGGTGAGCAAGCAGGAGAGCAGATCGCTTAGGAGGTTGTGCAGTCTCTGTCTGTGGGGTAGTTTTCAAGACCTGACTGGATAAAGCTCTGAACATCCTGGTCTGAGCTCAGGGTTGATGTTGCTTTGTCTGTACAGGAGCTTAGACTGGAGACCTGAAGTCCCTTCTCAACTGAGGGTTTTTTTAACAATCCTATGACTATCATTCTCTGAGTTTGACCAGAACAGAATTACTGGAGCTACTCTAGAGATGCGTTCCCTGTTCTTTCTTTGGTATCTTCTGTATTATTAAACTGTTCAGCACCATTGTGGAAGCAGATTTTGTGTCATACAGTGGTCCCCAAGTTGTCTCTGGAGCACTTATAGATGTCCCAGTTTCTCTAGAATTGTTCCTCAAACAATCCCACCCTCCTCAAAAAAAAAAAAAAAAAGTCCTGAAGCTATAGATAGAAGGATACTGAGATGAGCTTGTTATGATTGGGTGAATTACTGTGTTTACTGTAATAAAGGATACCACTTTGTTCTAAGGACATTTTCATGTAGTAAATGTGGTCCTTAGTGTTGTCCATTCATATTGTTAAAATGTACAGTTATCATGTGTTCTTTCTGAAGGAAAATTTGTCACTGAAAGTAGGCAGTCATTACACTCGTGGAGTTTGGATTGCAGCTTGTGGGCCTAAACCCAGAGAGTGAAATATGACTAAAATAATATAGTCAGAGATGGAATTTCTATACTCTTTCTTCTGTTCTTTTAAGATAGTTAATTCTTGAACTGCGAGAGCACTTGGTTTTTTTCTTTATTCTGAAGTGTGCCTTTGAATAACTGTATTAATAGGAATTGTAAAAGTTCTACCAGTAGGTGTTATTTCCTATGCTTGTTCCTGAAGTAGGAGGTTTACAGCAAGAGAAATAGATGTTTGCATTTGGGATCTTATTTAAAAAAAAGCTGAAAATGCAAGTTTTTCAGATAAGACAGTCTCAAGGAGCTGTAAAAAAATGACATTTTTATTTTACAGTTGCAGCAGTCTAGAAGAATACACCTTACCAGGTCTGAGGCTCAGCTGGAAAGGGCTGCACTGTCACTTGAAATGATCTGGTTTTGTGGGGACAGTGTTTCACAAATACCAGACAACTTGCAATAACAAGGAAGTTGTGTTTGTCTTCAGTATTTGCTTTGACAGAAGTGAGCAGGGCAAATTTCTAACAGTCGCTGCTATATGATAGGAGCGTTCATATATTTAGCCCAATCTCTAGTACCTGGTTATCTGGAATCTGTAGAAAACTTCTTTACAGTGTGTAGCTGTTGGGTGCTGTCTGGCTACAATGACATAATCCCTGGTGACAGTCCTTAAGTATGGTTTAAGAAAGGAGATGTGACTTCATTCAGTGATATACAAAAATACAGTGTTTGTAATTTTTGTATTCTACTTTGATTGGGAATATTTGTGAATGTTGCTGAAGGCTGTATATGGCTCTGTTTTCTAAGTTGACTTTTGATGTTAGCCATTTTTATTGTTAATATGAATACACAGTTTCCTATTAAAAATGAAAATCGATTCTTATTGAGATTCAATGCCTCAGTCTGCCTTGATCTTCCTGACTGGAATATATTATAGGATTTTAAAATACATTGAAAAGAAACTGATTTTATTGGGTTATACAATGAGGGAAAAAAAATCAAAATGATGCCTTTCAGTTCTGCCTTCTTCCTTTGGTATCATCTGCTGATGTCACCTGCTGTTTTGTACTGTCAGGTTATGCCGTCTAAAGAAGAAAGCTCAAGCTGAAGCAAACGCGACATCCATCAGTAACCTCTTGCCATTTATGGAATATGAAGTGCACACCCAACTGATGAATAAACTTAAGCTGAGAGGAATGAATGCTTTGTTTGGGCTGAGAATTCAGATCACTGTGGGTGAAAATATGCTAATGGGGTTGGCAGTAAGTACAGTTTTAATCTTGGGATTCTTTTGCTTTTTTACAGTATTTTTTCAAGACACAAAGGCATACAAATGTTGTGGAAGTCAGAGTAACTAGAGCTATTAAAATGTCATTTCAAGAATAAATGAAGGGATGGAAAGGAATGAGGTGTCTTAGTTGCTGACAGACTGCCTTTCAGCACCAGAAAAAGATCTTAAAACTCTGTTAACAGAAGACAAGATTATTAGAAAGGGGTTGAGAGGAAAAGGAACTTTAGTTTAGTGGCAGAAGTTAGACAAAAATGACTGTGTTCTTTACAGGTCCTGGCAAAGAGATCCCTGTTCCTCAAGTTGCATTACAGTTCCCTGACAAATAAGATCAATTAAGTCAGTGAATAAATCTTTTGGGTTAGTTGCTAACAAGAGAGAGGACTGTCACCTCTTCTTTGATGGCACTGAAGAAAGAAATGTTAGATTGGAAGTGTCCTAGAGATAGTCACAAAATATTCATTAACAATATTTTCTAACGTTGTTCTGTCATGTGAGGTTAGAATAGAAGTACTCTGCTTCTTCCTGCATCAGTGTAAGAGGATGCTTGGACAGTACTGACTGGCTTGCATGTCCATTTGTCTGAACCCAGAGATGTTTCCTGTAACTAGAAATGGGATTTTCACAACTTCAGTGGTACTGTAAATGGTTTGACCAAGTTGTCAATCCTTGAAACCATCACTTGCCTATACAGAATATACTAGGGCAGAAATCTCAATTAATACTTTGTTTGGAACATTTAGGTAAGCTAAGAAGGTCCACCATGTAAAAGATCCATGAGAAGGAGAGTGTTTATTAAAAGAATAGCGTGTTGTTTTTTGGTTTTTTTTCATGAGCGAACAGGAAGAGGTCACCCTGTAATGTACTTGTCGCAATGCTGTCCTTTATAGCGTAAGCATTATGAAAAGCTATTCATGAAAATATGAGAAGTACATGCTTATGTAATTGTCGTTTTTCTTAATGACTTTTTAAAAGTCTGCAACAGGTGTGTATCTAGCAGCATTGCCAACACCTGGTGGTATTCAGATTGCTGGGAAGACTCCAAATGATGGCACGTATGAGCAGCATATCTCTCACATGCAAAAGAAAATAAATGATACAATAGCAAAAAACAAGGAGCTTTATGAGATTAATCCTCCAGTAAGTAAAGCTTTTATATTCTTAAGGAGAAAGCATTCTCAGTCAGATGTACATCATGTAAATCCATGAATTCTTAGTGACTGAATCTTTAAGAACATTAAGTTGGTTTTTTAATAGAAATACAGATCCTTTCAATATGTTTTGGGAACCTGCTGGAATTTTCGGAACTCTTAAGCCACGTATCCAAATCACTTTGTATTTAGTTATATTTATATTTTCAGAACAGTGTGATTCTTAGAACTATCAGTGAATTGCTTATTGTCAAAATGATTTCTAAACTACATGGAACAACCATTAATTTTTATATCCTTTTTAGGAACTACCTGAAGAAATCATTGGGTCTCCCATTCCAGAGCCAAGACAACGCTCCAGGTTATTAAGATCTCAGTCAGAAAGCTCTGATGAAGTTACAGAGCTAGACCTTTCACATGGAAAAAAGGATGCTTTTGTCTTGGAGGTGATAAATTTTTTCAGTACTCATTTTCATACTTCTGTTTTCCTGCAACATAACAAAACAGACAAAAGTTTTCGTACTCATCACGAAGACAGTTCTTTAAATTGCATATAAGACTTTCATTTTTTATGAATATTCTCTCTTTTCATAGTCCATTTGCTTAAAGTGTAGCTCTCTTATGCCTAGGGACAATATCTGAAAAAAGATTACCTTAATGTTCATGAACATGTAGCAGTATCTAGAATAATAACCAAGAGCGCTTAAGCAATAGCTTCCTTAAT